TCCTCAGGTCTCATGGCACTGCTGCACCTGCTCCTTGGGACCCAGGACCGGTGTCCCCTGGGTCCCCGGGACACGGTCAGTGCTGGCCTTCGGTCCGTTGCGGGGAGGAGGGCGGAGAGGTCTCGCCTTGACAGGGTGGGGTTCTGGAGGCTGGTGGGGAGCTTAGCTTTGTGGCCTTATTCCCTGGCTCCCCATTTTTCCATGTCCTATTTCAGAGGTCGCCCTCAGACCCCAGAGGCAGGGCACGTGAGGGGTGATGCAGGGACCGACCCTGGAAAGGGGGCCCAACGCCCTCTGGGGACAGGATGCATGGGGGTGTCAGTGGGGTGGGTTCTCGGGGCTCACTCGTCCTTGCGTTCAAACCTGCACAGGTGTGGCTCACGTTCCGAAACACGTACCAATGTTCCGTAACAAAATGCCAGCCGACGTGGTAGCAGGGCCACGAGCAACAGGTGCCTGGGCCTCAGGGCAACTCCGGGCACCCGGACCCTCAGGGCACCAGGCCACAGCCCTGGGAGGGCCCTTTCGAGCCTCTTGGCTGGGCTTGAGGCACCGTGGCCTCCACAGCCCTGGCAGGTGCCCGGTTGGCCCCTCCTGGGGTCACCCGCTGCCTGCCCATCACTGCGGTGGGCAGGGCAGGGTCTGGCTGCTCAGGAGGACTCTTGGGACCTCCCTCAGGAGGGGGTACTGGGCTGGGGTGCCCGGGGTGCTGATGGGTCCTGGGTGGGATGGGCAGCCTTTTGACTGCATTCTCTCCACGGGCCTGCTTGGTGGTCACTGCTGTGGTCTTCTGAGTCCAGGCAGTTCCCTGGGGCCAGGGTCCCGGGAAGGAGGGAGGCTGGCAGGGATCAGTAGGTGCGGCAGTTCTGAGAGGTCACAGAGCTTGCTCGGGGTTGCTGGCCGGTCCCACATCCTGCTGTCCGCCGGGGGACGCAGTGGGGTGGAGGTGTCCTCCCAGGTTCCCACTGGTGGTTTAGAGCCAAGGACACACTTCCTGCCAACCGGACTGGGATAAATTAAACCCACCATGTCTATGGTGGGTTTTACGATGTTCATTTGGTTATTCAGAGATAACGCCTCAACTTTGTAGAAAGAAAATCATAGGATGCGGGCAGAGTTAGGATGCTGGATTCTTCCTCACACGGCCACGTGCTGGGCCCGCGATGGGCCTCCTGGGCCGGAGAGGGACAGCCTCCTCCTCCAGCCCCTTCTTGTGGCTTCTGGTTCCCATCTGAGGTCATGGAATATCAGCTTAGATTTTTAATCCCAGAGCAAATGTTACCATAGTGGGTTTTATGACACACCCTCATCATATTTAACTCACTGGAGACAGGATCAAACTTCTAAAAAAACCCGATATTTTTCCCTATCATAAAAGTAACACAAGATTGTTGTCCAAGTTGGGGAAAAAAGATAAAGAATAAAAATTACCCGTAATTCTGCCACCCAGAGTGAAGCAATTACTATCTTGATGTGATGTACACACTTGGACTCCTACCAGCTTGGACCACGTGTTATGATGCAGAGTTTCAGAGCCGCTCTCTGGCTGAGTGCTGCTGGGCCCAATATGGAAAGGGGACAGCCAGGAGTGTCAGTGACCTGCGTGGCCGTGGGGTGGACACCAGCACCTGGACTGGGCAGCCTGGTGTCTCTTCTTTTTTTTTTTTTTTAACATCTTTATTGGAGTAGAATTGCTTTACAACGGTGTGTTAGTTTCTGCTGTATAACAAAGCGAATCAGCTATACATACACATATATCCCCATATCCCCTCCCTCTTGTGTCTCCCTCCCACCCTCCCTATCCCACCCCTCTAGGTGGTCACAAAGCACCGAGCTGATCTCCCTGTGCTATGCGGCTGCTTCCCACTAGCTATCTGTTTTACATTTGGTAGTGTATATATGTCCATGCCACTCTCTCACTTCGTCCCAGCTTACCCTTCCCCCTCCCCGTGTCCTCAAGTCCATTCTCTACATCTGCATCTTTATTCCTGTCCTGCCCCTAGGTTCATCGGAAACTTTTTTTTTGTAGATACCATATACATGTGTTAGCTTACGGTATTTATTTTTCTCTTTCTGACTTACTTCACTCTGTATGAACAGACTCTAGGTCCATCCACCTCACTACAAATAGTTCAATTTCGTTTCTTTTTATGGCTGAGTAATGGTGTCTCTTCTTGACCCCAAACAAATAATTTATCCCCCCAAACATGCCTCGGAGTAGGTCCAGATATTTTGGATGAGGCTCTCTGTCCTTGGTGACAAGATTCAGTAAAAAGATATAGTTGTTTGTTATCTGCTTTCCAAAGATGGAATCCCACATGGATTTTTCTCCTGGTTTTTATTTATGACTGCAATCAGGCAGTTTTTCCAGAGAAAACTACCCCTGCTCCCACCGCCTTATAGCCTCCTGTCTCTCTCTGACCTCAGCCTTCCTCTGGCCCCATCTGCATGAGGTTAAGCTGCTCAGGTGCCATCCACATTAGGAGGAATCCGCTCTGACATTATGGGGACAGGAACAAAATTGGAATGTAGACTGTGGGTTAGATTGAGTATCGTATCTGCACTGGATTTAGCGAGTGGGGTAACTGCCCCGAGATTATGTAAGAGAATGTCCTTGTTCTTATGAAACACACCGAGTGTTACCTGGTAAAAGGACACAAAATGTGGGGCTTACTTTCACATGCTTCAGAGGAGGTAAGTGTATGTATAGGAAGGACAGAGATTATACAGAAGTGCGGTCCAATAGTACTTTGTACTATTCTTGCAACTTTAAGTTTGAGAAATGTTCAGAATAATAAATGTAAAAAGAAACACTATGAAAGAACAAAACAACCCACAAACCCACAACCGTGCACATCCAGCCCTCGTAATTCCACCCTGTGAGCGAGCTGTGGTCCTGGATGTTGCGAGAACCATTCCCCTGCTCTTCTCTAGAGTGGGCCGCACATATATGGAAAGCCATCCGCCCCCACCTGGTTATGCTTAGTGTTGCCTGTTTGGGAGCTTCATACAGACGGAAAAGTGAAAGCCACCCCGCTTGTGTTCTTTTGTGGCGGCTTTCCACTTATCCCTCCTAATGGTGACTCTTGGGCTGCATCTTGCCTGCTGATGCTGTAGCTGCCCCGCCCACCCTCCCCTCCACCACCG